CTTATCGTATTTTCTGACCAAATTCTACAACGTGCTAACGTATACATCTGAGCACTTGTTACAACAAAAGTCCGGCAGGAAAATATAGATTCTGGCACCTCGGGAAGATAGGCTAGCCGTCGGACGCAATAGCATTGTTCGTTATAAAAATTTGTTAAAAGACTCGCGTCATTGAAGTGAAATACTCGGTGTGAATCGTGTAGCAAAGGAACCGATTAATTATCTCTATATGGTTAGTCGTTCCGGCCAGTTCAGTAAATTGCTTTGAATTCAGTCCTCAGCATTTAGTAGCTTTGATGTTTTATTTCTGCCCGTGTAATTAAAATACTCTATTAACGTGCGATACGTGCATGTGTGATACCGATTTATGAACGTTCTATTTCTGATTAGGTTGGATGTAATTATATCGAATATGCATTGATGTTCAGAAGGGAATTTTGGTTTCAAGTGGGAGGGGGAGAGAGAGAGAGATCATTGAACCGATAAAAAGGGATTTCAAACACCATTCCGTGTTGTAGCATAACGTCTGCAAATAATAGAGACACAGTTTCAGTTGTACAGCTCCCCGTATATGCATTTGGAAGCACCTTTTCCCGAAAACATTCCTTTATCTTATTGGAGCACTGCGTAATTTATTGACGGAAATGAAGTGTTAATTGAACCCTATAAAGTGTACTACTATGTACTTGCTTGAATAATGCATTTTACCGGCAGAGTGTGCTAATGGGTCTCGTATGATTTTCAGAATAAACTGCTTTCCCGTGAACGACATTAACCAATTGGACTTTGTAATGGAGATGTGTTTTTTTCTTTGACTGAATTTTTAAATAGTGTAGCGAATTCTTCGCACGATGTGTGAAATGTCTTTCCCTCTCGGGTTCGATTCCCGGCGGTGCCCGAATTTATAACTTGTGTTGGGCAAGGCCGTGGTCTAGGCAACACGGAGTTTTCCTCCGAGGGCTTCCCCGGTTTCTCCGTGGCATCCCAACAATTCACACACAGAAGAAGGCAATGGCAAACCACTTCTGGATCATCTGCCAAGAACGTATATGAACAGGTCCCAGTCCGAGAAAAGGATGGAAGGATCCTGTTCATATGGACCTGTCGTAAGACAGAACACTAATAATAATAATAATAAAAAAATTGGTAAGAACGAACTTGTGAGGAGGATTCGCCAATAGTGCCGATAACTATTGGGTGGAACAGTGATGCACGGTAATAGATTTTTCAAATTGACAGATATACGGTTTAAGCCGATAAAGGTGTTTCGTTTGGTTATAATGGCGACATTAACTTATTTAAGTCGTATCTTTAAGTATAATTTCCTCCATGCTGTGATTCCAACACGTATTTTTTTATCTGCCTTAGGAACTAACCTCTTTCTACCACAAATTTGTGCAGTACCAGAATTACAAGTTATCATAAGGCTGTCAGGAATCAGGCAATGTCAGATGAGATTTTTTTTATCTTTTGTGTGTTACTGATGTCTCTTGGAACGAAATGTGTTTTTTAATTAAATGTAGCATCGGCCAAATTGACATGTTGATTAAGTATATTCTTTTCGAAATTGAATAGCAGAAGGCATGTCTTTTACAGACTGCTAAAGCTTGCGGTACGCTAGTGGTGAACTAGAATGGTCTATGGCAACTTGTGGTACGCGAGCCAATATTGAGTGGTACGTGAACTAAGTAAGAAAATCAAAAGGTAATATTAACATAAATAAGTTTTCCCTGAACGCATTTGGTTTGTGGTACATTTAGTGTGTTAAATTAGAATTAGTGGTACGCCAGCGAAAAAGGGCGAGAACCAGTGGTCTATGGAATAAAATCCGGGGCATGCAAGTAACGTGGGGTTAGCGTAAGGATATAGGAGACCATTTGGCGTAATGTTTATTCAGACCCTCCTTCGTAAGTTGAAATTAGATCCCGTGCATCTTATATGAATTAAGTTATTATTGAAACTGAACTTCGCCTCTTGGTCATCTGGTACTGGGAATTATATCCCGTGAGAGAAAGTTGCCAGTTCGTGAAACTGACTGCCAACCTCTATATAATGCGGAGGTTGAGTGCTCTGCCCCCACTACCATGGTGCTTAAAGTCAGGGAGAACTTTGTTATAGGGGTGCACAGGTCAGAGAATCACCGACCAACCTTTGTTCTTCAAATCGATACATGAAATGTTCTTAACAGTTTGTCTTCAGACTTTAAAACTGTCCTAAGCCACTATCGCGCCGTGATCTTGTAAGCAGTAAGTTGACAGGTTTTGCAATCGAAGTGGCTGTCGAAAATGCCGACGTTGCGGGTGCTTCGTCCCTGCATCGGAGATCGCAGTTGAAAGAAACCCATTTTTAGAATGTTTTCACTGTTTTTTCGCGTGAGCAGTTGGGCTTGATTTGAATTAATTTATAATACAAGTCTTCTCGCCGTTTGTGACTGTTTCAATCCAGAATCAGCTTTGAATCTACTAATCCTTTGGCAATTGGCATGAATTGTTGGATGGTTTATAGAATTATTGCAAGGCTTCAGCCTACACGCGACAACACAGCGCAAAGCAACACGGACAGAATCCAAGCCTCAAACAGAATTCGAACCCGCGATTCTGTTTCACAAGAACGTTAAGCTTTAGGCCGCCATCGTGATCAACAGATCTTTTTGTTGTTGAAGATATCCGTCTTCTGGGTTATTGCGCTGTGTAGTCTGGTCGATGTTAACCAACGTTTCAGAGGTCATACTGCCTCCGTCAATAACCCAGAAGACGGATATCTTCATACTCACCGCTGTGAGAACCTCAAGTCTTACACTTTTTGTTGTTGTTTGTAAAGTATAGCAATCTATGTTATAACAGTCCGTTGTCATAAAAATCCTTGTGCAACAAAATATATCAATTCTAAAGGGTTTTGACGACGGTAGTTTACACTTAAAATTGTTCGTTATCAGGACTTCGTGATTTTAAAATAACAGACGATGGAAAAAGTCCTGATAACGAACAATTTTAATTGATAATATATCACCCTTATCGAAACATGTTTGCAATAAAAGTTGTAGAAGACAACGAGATGTAGGCAAAACTGTCGGAAAGATTCGGCAGAGGTGAAGTTTGACCGCTGTAACATTCGTATATAGTCTCACTACTCGCATTGCCCGCGCGGGTTCACAGAAACGAAGAGATAAACAGGGGTGGGATCCTGTCTGGTCGCAAGGAATGCGCTTGGGCGATTTATTCTACTACGGCATCATGAATATCTGATCGGTTGTGCTGGGTTCCAAAATGCTGTAGCGTCGTATTGGGTATGCTGGAAGGACTACAGACGCCTGCCGGAAGGCTGCATTATTAGTATGCCACAGCAGATGTTCGGGCATTTTAATGCTAATGGCAGCAACGTGAAATGTACGAGTGATTCAGAGGCCGGTGCGTTGTCTTGTTGAGGGTTGCTGCACCACGTTCCCAGACGTGTTGCGTCTAGTTAATTTGCCAGGTTGAAAGAGGTGTTTGTGAATAGTTGTATTGGAATATCGTGCACTAATTTAGCGTAAATAAATGAATGACCAATAGTGGGCTTGCGAAACAACAGAACTTCTGCCGTGTGCTAGAGACATTCTCTCTCTGTCTACTAGTCCATTCATCTGCAGTCTTGTCAGAGTAGCAAGGGAGGTATTGATCCGCATCCACCCTTTTCTCGTGGTCATGTGATGTAACCAACCCTCCCAGGCACCTTGAGGCCCTATAATAGTTCACGTTTCAACATTAATCTTTTATAGGAGATTTTCTCATTCAAACCCCGGAACATTTTATGGTCTGTACTTTGCCGGCCAGTGCTACGTATCTTGTGTAGTGGGAGTCTCAATGCGCAATTTCCGTTTCTCGGGATTGGCCATGCCAGCTGTTGATAGTTACCCAACGTTTCGGCAAACGAGGCTACCAACCAGTCAGCACCATAAGTCTTCCACAAACGCCCAACCTCTGTACATTTGCCCTGAAGATGGTAACTGCTATGATGTCGTATCGTTGGATAACTATAAACATTCTATGCGATTTATCTCGTAATGCCGAAGTTACATATTTGTGAGATATTTTAATTTTAAATGTATTTATATTTTTGTCTGACATGTCTAGTTTATCAGTATTTGTGTCTTGAATTGTAAATAAATTACAAATACATGTGCACGTGCACAGACTTACGTTAGCTGTAAGAGTATTTAATAACTTAATTCCTGCGTAGTGAGCGATTTCTGATAAGTGAGGTTAGCGGTTGACATATGAAGGTAATGTTTATGCCTAGTGGTATATAACGTGTGTTGGTATTAATTTGAAACGTTTATTTTTTGTCTGACAGTATTTGGGACAAGTCAAAGACAGAGTATTGCAATAACAGTAGCAACACAACGTGATGAGTAGTATCAGTCTGGTGGATTTCCCACAAGATAAATACATACGGTATTATGGAATACAGTAAGCGAAGTAAACTGGCTTTAGAGTATCTGTTTTCGTGACTGGTGTAACTGCCCTTATGACGTCTCTAACTGAACTTTGTTTATGGATAATTACAGGTTTTCTAGTTTGAATGCGTGGGGATGACAGAGCTACATATTAGCATTTTTTCAAAGTGGCGTTGTTATGGAATACCTACCATTCTTTAACTGTAGACTCATGATTTTTTTTATGAAAGTAGAACATATTCCGTTTATTAGGTTTTGTGTGGGAGTTATCTTTCCTGATATCTCGTATTCATAAGAATAATTGTAGTTTTGCCTGATAAGTCAATATTAGAAAGCTTAGACTATATACGTATTTGTTGTAATGTGTTCGAAATTAAATGTTCTTCGTATGAAATTTCAGAACAATTTAATTGTTGTTTATTTCACTAAAAGATGTTATTTGTGTTATGCTGTGTCTTGTGTTGTGGTGTGGGATTTTATTTTGTTACTGTGTGGATGTTGTTTGATTTCAAAGTCGAACCCAGGTTCTGCACATAGAACTTATTTGTATTTGTTTGTATTTTAGCAAACAGAGCCAGAAGCAGATACACCAGCAACGCAGGGAGCCCCAGCAGTGAATGTGACCGCGGTGGCACTTCCCAGTGAACCAGGGAAGAATCAACCCAAGAGACTCCATGTCTCAAATATCCCATTCCGGTTTCGAGATCCAGATCTCCGGGCAATGTTTGGGGTAAGATCAAAATTAATTGTCATGTAGCTGGAGAAAATTTAGTGACATTTATTTCTCAGTGTTGCAAGTTTGCAGAAAAAACAACATTTTGTAACAGAAACAGTATTTGAAGTAGTCGAAATTAGATTACAATAACCTTTATTTTGAGTAAGGGCGAATGCAATTTAAACAACGTTTCAATTAACAATTTCTCGTAATTTCTTGTATGTTTCCACAATTTATCAGTATTCATTTCTATGTCTGCGCCTTCGGTATCGTTTATAATATTAAAACCCTTTCCAGTGTATTTTGTTGCGTATATTTCATGGTTTATGTCCCATCAGGTGGAAATACCAGAAAGTCTTTAGGTCTCCATTGATACATTATGAATCAAAATGGGTTCTGTGATGAAATTACTTCAGGAAACAGTCTTAATCAATAACATAATCAAGAACTAGGACTTATCTTATTAGTAACATTTGAAATGCAAGCGAATCTCAGCAACAGAAATTAAACCCGATGAACTAACTAGATGGCTTACGGAACCCGAAGGTTCATCGCCGAGTTAACCAAAGCCCTCCACTGGCCCAACAAAATCCAGTCTCTTTCAACTCCTATCTCCCATAGATCCCGCTTGAAATTATCCTCCCATCTACGTCTAGGTCTCCCCAGCGGTCTCTTCCCCTCAGGCTTCCCGACCAATGCCCGGTGCTCTCCTCTTGTACCATACACGCGTGCTACATGCTCCGCCAATCTCATTCTTGAACCTGATGAAAGAATCCGTTAAAAGCGGTAGCAGATATCTCAGTAATGACTAACTTTGTTAAAGAAAATGTCAGTGACATTTGTGAACCTGTTTGCCGTGCTAATAGCATTTTTTAATAAACTGCGGCGAATTTAATAATAATTTTTTTTCCCATGAGTCAGTAGCCCGTAGGTTAATAAGATAGAGTGGGAGTTGCCGCAGTCTCAAAGGGTTGGAGAATCGCTGATTAAGATGTTCATTGTTCTGATAATTTGATTGAGTCTTTGTTATTCGTGCTGCAGTTTTTTGCACTGAAACACATTTAGGGTTACTTTGTGATCAGGGAAATGAATGTACTTTACCATTGTCAAGTAACCTGGCACGTTACATATTAGGAACTATCTTTCGGGACAGGTTACAACAACGTAATATAACTGTTGTATATTTTATCTTCTATTAATTATATTATTTAATCTTAGATGTTTATGTGGTACATTCAGGTATTTCCGACTCTTTGGAGATGCTCTCAAATGATTCGAAAATAATCCCCATATTTATAAATACTCTATCTGATTTTAGTCAGATGGTGTTGGAATTTGGATATATGTCTTAAAAGAACTTGTCTCAAAAAGTTCTTTCTCAGTTTGAATTTTGTGAAGTGTTTGAAATCTACAAATCAAAAAGAATTGACGCTAAATTAAAAGAGATTTATGAAAACTCCGACATTCAGTGACATACAATTTTTAATGTGTATCTGTTATCTAGTGCAGTGGTATTCGACCTTTTTTTGTTCGCGTACCCCCAGATATAATTTCTCTTCAACTTTGTACCCCCAAAGTTGTTGGTGTATAATTCAAGTTATACACAGTATATAATCTACATCTAAAATAAATTAAATAAATTACATTACTGATTATTCAGTGTTATCATAAAATAATATATTTTTTTAAATTTCACGTACCCCCTAAGATGTCTTCGCGTGCCCCCGGGGGTACGCGTACCCCAGGTTGAAAACCACTGATGTAGTGTAAACTTCAGAGTAGTTTAACGTGTACAGAAGTGCATTGGTTTTGTATTTGTAGTGAAGATTTGAGGTTGTATGTGGTACTTGAAAATTAAGTGTCGCAATTAACGACGCGTGTCATTTTCTATAACAATATTTTTGTGTGTTCTTTGTTACAGCAATTTGGTCCAATTCTTGATGTAGAAATAATTTTTAATGAAAGGGGTTCCAAGGTAAGAATCTTATTTTGTGTGTTTTAATTAGTGCACTTTTGTTTTAAGTCCTTTTACTTAAATGTTATCATTCCGTATTTAATCACTTATTTCAATGGATTACATATTGTGTTCAATTCTGAATTGCTTTCTTGATAACAGGTGGAAAATGAACTAGTGTATTAATAAAATCTCAGTTTTCCTTGAGTTAAAATGAACCAAATTGTAAGTGCTATACATATTAATATTTCGCTACAGCTTCTAGTATAGAATTAATGCAATATTGAGGGTACAGGTGTTATTACGATGAGACCTTTGAGGTTTCAGTGTCAAACTGGCTGTCACTGACTTCAGTCTGCCATATTGTCCTCATTAAAAACATTTTTTTATTTGTTTACTTGTAAAAGTAATTTAAAATGTTTAGATTGCAAATGTAATACTCTGTTAATTATGAAGCTGTTACGAAATGTTAGTTTTATTGTAATATATTTTAGAAATAAATTATATTTATTTTCTGATTTTCTGCCCATGGCAGTGTGGATTCTAGATTTTCTTGGTGCGTAAGTTAATGGGATAACTCAAGGAAAATTAATAAAGAATGTCATCAAACATGGCCACTCATATATAAAAAAGTATAATTTCGTAATGTTTTTAGAAATATGATCTCTGAATTTATGTTTAAGATTACCACCTTGATGGATTTTACCTTGATATTTTAAAATTTGATATCATATGAGTTATGATTTTTCATTATTTTCTGTGTGTATAACAGGGACGTGTTTTTTTAAATTGTCTATACATTTATATGAAATGCTGATGGAGGCAAAGTATTATACAGTGGAAGACTGTATGCTGGAAAGCGTAAAAGCAGAATTTAATTAATTAGTTTTTTTGTTGATAAAATATATCATTACTCTTACCGCATTATAAATACTGATTCAAAATTTTGAAAATTATGAAGGGTTTATTACTTTTTGTTAAATTCAGCTTTCAGAGAAATCTTTCCATTATCTTGACATAAATAGAAAATATTTTTATGAAAAATTTAGCAGTCTTTACATACTCGTCAGTATCACATTTCCTTGGCATAAATGTATATAATTGTAAGAATTTTCTGTGTTAAGTCCATGTTGAAGGTGGTAGACATAATAATAGTTAATTGTATTAATTGCATTATTTTGGGCTAGTGAACAGTATTGTAGCATAATTTTGAAGATTTTGGTTGGGCATGGCTGTAAAAATGTGAATTTTGAAGAGTTTTGTTTATTTACTTTGGTACAGGATAGAAATGACGACTGTCTTTGGGGAAGACTAATAGGTTTGAAGAAAATTATAAATGTATATTTTTACGCAGTCGTCACGTGTCGAAGCCTGTGAATGAATTGTACCACAGTAAACTTACTTCACTCTTCTGTTTGTAAGAGCTTGCACCATGATTGCCTTACCGTACACGTGATTTGGTTTCGTCGTAGTCTCTGTATATAAATCTATAGATACACGCGATATCCATGCGGTTTGTCGAGGTTACGATTTGCTTTAAGCGGAAAGGAGCGCACATTTGAAGTATGGCAATTATGCTGTTGTCTCTGAATGTGTATTTTTAAGTTTTTTTGTATGTGATAAATAGCAAACTGATTATTCCATCCACTTTTTTCCATTTGACTTGAGATTTGATTGATTCTGACTTTTTTCTGACTATCTTGATTGTTGCTTCGTGTTGGCGCTTTCCTTGTGACGTACCGTACCATATTTTTGACTGTTGGCACCATGGGAAATTCTTGTGTAATATTTGATTGTAACCTGCAGTGATTCTTTAGTAGTGTTCTCACTTTTGTCCAAGCCATATTTTGCAGCTGCTATATTAGTGATACGTCGGTGTTTTAAAGAGTTGAGTATATATAAAAATTCACACATGCAACCAAAAAAAGTGCAGATGGTTCTTCACTAATGCGTGTGAGTCGTAGACATTTCAAAGGATTACAAAAGAAGCATGTCTGAATCACACTTGTTTGCATCTAGCCAGACAAGTGCAGATGTTTTCTTTTAAAAATTAATTGTGGCTCTTGAATATTAGTTTTTATTGTACGTACGGTCCGTGCGCGTCTCTTTTTGGCACAGTAATGTTCATTGTACATAGAACTGAGTTCTTTCAGCATCCCAGTCTTGTGGCTTTTATCACCAGCTTTAGCTTTAAACAGATCAAATAAATTCACTATCACATTATTAATAACAGTGGGTAACTGGGGAGTTGATGGTGCAGAAGTAAGCTGTGCCGAGGCTCGCTGAACTGTGACAGCATGTTTTAACTTAATGCCATATGTCAGCTTCACTTTATATGCTGTTCATAATTAGTTTATGTGGAATGTTTATATTTGCTTTGCAAGTTGGGTAAAAACACTGTAATGTGGTTTCTCTTCCGTTTCTTTCTTACGAAGTATACGAGATGATAGTCGATGATATGACTCGGATCTGCGAGAGTGTTTTGTAAGATGTTTTTAGGAATTTGTCTTTCCACCTTACCTGTTAAACACTCTTTTGTTTCATGTTTAAATAATTCTGTAAAACTGTACTATAATGTTACGCAGAGATCCTGCTTGTAACATCAGCTCCTCGTTACCTGATCTTAGAACGGTTATCTATGCTACATGAACCATCTGTGTGGTCAGGTTCCTGAGTTTGGATGTGTAATTAATTTAAGGTCATGCAGATACACTGCTTGTTACCGTGAAAAATCGAGCCTTGGAGTTGAGTATATTTTAAGTATCCTTATTTGAAGCTGTTACTGTAGAGGTTGCTTGAGTTTCCCCACAAACAAAAATTGTGTCTGTGATATGTCATTTGCACATTGAATTAATGTAATTTTGCATGTTTACAGGATATGAAAAAATTATGTATCTTCATTTGTAACAATTGTGTAATCTCTGTTGTAAATTGTATCTACGTCGATCGGAAGTCAGTTCTTAGGTAAGGCTAGTTGTAGGTAGATTAGATAGTGAGGAGATTGAGGGAACATAAATATAAGTTTCTTGTCTGCATGACCTTGCTTAATTACCATCCCGTAGCACATTGGAATTTACAGTGTCTTGTGCAAAGTAAAAAGAAAAAAGAAATTCTTCAGCGTAGTTGTCAATATTGTTAGCTTTCCTTATACCAAATTTGTTATGAAAAGAAAAGTGAAATTTAAATTGACGTACATAATCCTTGAAGGTTGTTGGTTTGCCTGACAGTGAAATTGTTCTGGCATGAAACAGGATTGGCTTAGCCTATGGACAACCATTACATATAACTTGGTCCAACCTGTCCACCCCTCTTCACAAAATGTTTCATTGCAGTTGGTTGGTTGGTTGGTTGGTTGAATGGCGTGGCCGATTGAATACGGTACTTGCAAACTCCAAATTGGTGCATGCACTATTTAAAAATTGACTCGATTCAGCTGTGCGGTGTTTTGCGTGTGGTCAGTGTTGTTTGATTTTAACAAAACTGACCTCGTGAAATATAGACTCAGTGTTGTTTCGATCCAATCATTTGGATGTATGCAGACAGATTTGTTAATGTTTTGCAAATTGCCATATTTGATGCCTCCGCTTATCTCCCATAGTGATGTGTGTTCTGTGATTGCTATGTAGCTCACCACCACCTTTTCATCATCATCATCATCATCATCATTATCCCCCATTATTCAAAATTAATGACTTTCCAAGTTTATGCATCTGATGAAATCCCTTTAATGGGGCTATTTTAACAGTGGAGTCCACCATTCAATTTTAGGTCTTGTAAATTCACAAGAGCCTGGTTATTCAACATTTTTATTAATATAGTAAGAATGTCATCATGTCCGTCCCATTTTCTGAACTCAAAATTGTTATTATCTTTCAGAAACTGAAAATTATATGTGTGTGTGTCCTATTGGATAGGTGAGTGTAAAAATCTCTTACATAATGAGGAACAGGGTCATGTGTCTGAATTTGACTATAGATGAATGTGGCTTCAGAATTTCCAATGTAATCAGTATCTCACCTTTGAATGATTTTTTTTGTTGCTTTTTTGTATGTGGTGGACTCCTTATGTATGCAAAATGTAAGTTATGGAAAGTTAAATGTATTATTTTTACTGAATATTGCATTGCAGTAATCTGTCATGTTTCATATCCCTAATATTGTGAAAGAAGTATCATCAGATTATGAATATATATTAAATATCATTATTCTATATATACAAATCTATATATGCATACATGTTAATTTTTGTTGCACGTTGTTTTTGAGCGACGCCAGTTTTTTAATGCATGTTTTGTCTGTCTGCATGCAGGGATTCGGTTTTGTAACATTCGCAAATAGTGCTGATGCGGACCGCGCACGAGAGAGACTTCACGGCACCGTGGTTGAGGGAAGAAAGATAGAGGTGTGCATGGTCTCTATGATTTACAACATATTTTTCTGTGGTAGCACTCATTTTTAACTGTAACAAACCAAAAACACCCCTCTTTCTCCTTCCCCCCCCTTTGTTTTTTTTTTGTTAAATGAACCACATTTTCTAATAATCTAATCTCACTTGTTGAGAAATCTAACCAAACTCCACTTCAGTGCCTAAGCCTAACCTATTGGCTGAAGTAATCTGCTTGCACCTAACTGGATGCCACACCAAAAACAGTCGTAATGTATGACGGACCTGAAAATACCCATCCTCCTCTGAACGTAAGGAGTTGCATTGTTCGTGTTTCCTTGGTATTGTCTTGATAGCACCCAATGCTTTTAGTTTCGATGTCCACGTCTGTTAACATTGGAACTTGGCTCGCATTGTTACAGGTTGAATTCAGAGAATTAATACACTTGAATTATGGCCTTGAAGTTTACTAAATTTCAGGTATCTGAATTATTCCAGTATGAACCACGGGTATTCTGCTCATTAGATAACGTATTTTTGATTGTCAATTGCTTGCATAACATTGCATATGCATCATCACTGTGACTTAGAAAGCACTGTAGTAGTAGCTATGCAACTGATCTTGCCAGTTTAAATTTATAATTGTTGAGATTTAAAATGGTGCATTAGCGTATCAAAGGAGGTTGAAGATTTCTGTCTTCTGGGTTGCGCTGTGTAGTCTGGTCGATGTTAACCAACATTTCAGAGGTCATACTGCCTCTGTCATCGCCCTGATGACGGAGGCAGTATGACCTCTGAAACGTTGGTTAACATCGACCAGACTACACAGCGCAATAACGGAGGTTCATTACACTTTTCTATGTAAATAGTGACATGTTACATTTCTTTGTGTTTGGCTTGGCATTCAGCAAAGTGCAGCATGACTTCAAGGTGCATCTCATCAATTCTGCAAACTTGAAGTTGGATTGATTCGGCCAGTGCAATCCAGCATCGTGTTCTGTTTCGTGACAGCACACGACATTATCTTTTGCAGGGTTGATGGAATTGCATGGATGGCATACTGTTGCCCCCGCTTACAGAGTCCCACTTTCCTCTACCTACATCTTGTCTTGGGTGCATTACTGTCTGAGTAAACAGTTTCTTGTCCTCTACGGTAGTATTTCATACAGGCAGAAAGGAGAGAAATGGACGATGGCTTCCAGATTCCTGAAACGGAACTGGACGGACATCTGATGATAGTGCGGTTGCATATCCGTTACAAGTAACTGTTTAGAAGCATCGATCTGCCCACATCAGTTGCGCTTCAGGCACGGGGCCATGATTTTCTATCATTTCTATGTGTATGAAATACTAGCAGTAACATCGCCCTTTTGAGACACGCTAAATCATAGTGGCCAATTAATTCTTTCTTTCCCAACATATTCTCCCTATCCATTCTGCAACTCAGCAAAGCAATGTCAAAAAGATGCTCAGTGCCCTTCACAGTTACTGATGGAATAACAAACTTAGCAAGCTAGCAGGCAGTAGTGGTGAGGCTGTAGCTAAGCAAGCAAGCGGAAAGATCTGGTGGCTGGGATCGTGCGTGATGGATTGTTTGATATGAGATTGAATGGGGCCTGGATGATGATTGTCTGCATTGACTTGAACCCAGATTTGTAATTGTTATGTTTTATCTTTATAATTTATGTTAATTTATTGAGCATTGTTTCCTGCCCAGCATTCTTCCAGGCTATGCTCAGTGTGGTAGCTCATTTAGCAGGTTGATATGGACTTGACTGAGTGTTTATTTGGAAGTACTGTTTCTTTTCGTTGATAACCAATGCCTGGAAGTATCTACAACCCTGCTGACTGCCCTTTATAATAAAATCCCTTCATACAGTAGTTGTCTACCTTGCTTTGATTTTATTCTAAAGCAGAGGTACATTTTAACACTAAAATATAATAATTAAGCATTGACAAATAACCCAAAGCACTCTTTTATTTTTTCTTGGGCTTGTAATAATTGCTTTTGTATTTGTATTGTTTGTATTTAAGAAACTCCCATTCACTTCTTCTCTATGAGTTTTGACATTCCTTTGCTGAATTATAGTGTTAGAAAGTTAAATTTGTTTCTAGGTATAATGATTAGTCTGTAGGTAGTAGATATTAAGGTTCATAACACGTGGCCAAGCACACTGCTGTGCCGGAAGTGTATGCACTTTGCTTGACCACGTGTTACCTAGCTTGTAGATAAACAAACATTGTTTCTTAATGCAGCATATCAACATTGTATTCTACTCTTACCTCTCTAGACGGCCTATATGTAAGTGCCGATGAAAAGTTGTAGTACGGTTTTCTCTTCAAGGAGCAACAGAGGTAAGATGAATTGGTCAGTTCGCTGCAAGGTATTAGCATTATCAAATAATTGAATAATGTTATCTTGTTACCTTACTCCGCATTACACACTTACATGTAACAGTCATACAGAACCCATACCGCGCACTCATTCGTAACACATGCACGAGGTAATGGGGTATTACGGGATGAAACTGTTGTCCTTTAAAGTACCTTAAAACCCCATTCCTTATCTTCAAGACTTCTGTCTCCGTAGCAGTGGAAACATTTTCAAATTCTGATAATTAAGTTGGACAATATTCTTCACTGTTTCATAACCTCAAATCTCAGAAATGGATGATGCGTTCAGCCATGTATATGACATTCCAGACTGCCCTATCCTACTATGTTCTAGTACATGACGCATTACAGTGTTCTTAAAATGTTATTTACGTGCCTTGTTGCATCTTCTAATCATATATAAGCAAAGCAGTTTCTTCTTCTTCTTCCATTTCTTGACCGTTACTTCGGTCTTCTGGTGCCTAATATTTTCTTTCGTTCCTCTCTATTTTCCCATCCTTCCGGATGTAGTTTCCACTCTTTCATGGTTCTTGTAATTCTGTCGTTCCACCCTGGTCTCGGTCTTCCTCTCTTCCTTCTCTCTTTTGGTTGCCATTTCATAGTATTTTTTGGTAACCTTTTCTCCTCCATCCTTTGCACGTGTCCGTACCAAATCAGTTGTTTTTTCTCTATCTCCTCAATTATATCACGATCCACCCTCATGATTTCTCTAATCCTTTCGTTTCTCACTCTCCCTCTCTCCTGGATATTCCAGCTGCTAAAATTATATTCATAGTAATCCTTGTTAACAACAGAGATGCATTGTTTACGGTTTAATCATGAAGCACTACTTCCGGTTAATGAAATACAAATTTGCCACTGCTGTGAATTGCTGTTGTAAATTATCTTCGTCAATTTTGTATGTATTTCCCATTCTAACTACTTTCTTTGTTGTGGATTTTATCACCCCAGGCTTGAGTTAAGCAGTGTTATCTCTGAAGAACGTAACATGTTAATTTGCGTTAAGAGAAAAACAGTACTATAATTCATCAGCTGAGTTGATAATGACAGAATACAGATGTTAGATTTCTTCCATATTTGCAAATCCAGCTATCACATTCCTTCTGAATCAAAGAAATACACACACACACACACACAACACACTCTCTCTTTGCTTGTAGATATACTATTGTATAACTATAATGAATGTTCCTAGATTGATCATGTAAACTGCAATTTTGATTTGTGATACCAACGTGGCTTGTGAGTGTGTGAAGAGAGAATGGCTTGGGATGGATAATGAAACAGGTTGTCACTCTGTGTACCGAGACTTCCACAAATTGTTTTTAACGTACTTTTTATGCCATTTTCATATGTGGAGGGCAAAAGTGGTTCAGAACACGAAAACAATGCCAGTATTTTATTTAAATGCGCTGCTTTATATCTTAAGCTCGCAAATATAAACGGTATTTAGTGGGAGAAATGGAGAATGGTTAAGTATGCATTTGCTAAGATGTGGCATTCTAATGTTGTAGGGTAAAAGTAAACATGAAATTTATTTATAGAAGCAAACAAGAATACATCATTATATGAAGCAGTAAGTAATATAAATTTTAAACAAACATTGGGTGTGTAGGGATTTGAGAGTCGAGGAGGCATTGATCTGAATAAAAGTGGAATGCCATCGTAGGTTCCTACACGGAAATTTGAAGGTCTTGTAGAGTGATTATAAATCTTCCCTAAGCAGCAGGTTACTTTCTACAAATGAAATTTGGAATATTAAAGTTAACAAGTTGTCATACTGCGTATAATGTGGACCTAATAATAATTACAGTCAGCAGTATTTTCTGGCTTCATTAAACAGTTTCTGGTTTTATTGTTGGTTTTGTCAGGGATTAAGAGGGAGACGACCATATTTTTTATCACAAAGTGACAGCCTGTATTGGAACTTGCACACTAAGTAATCACGTTGTTTCTTGTAGATTGCAGATTTTGCTGGCTTGAACTGTGCATACAAACAGACAAACATATAAACAGTGTTACACAATGTGTTGATAATACATGACACAAACACACTGTGAGGCCAAGGAACCAGCTTTAGTAAAAAGTAGAAATGATGGAATCACAACAAAGATAACACTGCCAAAGTTCTCGTGAAATAAACATGGCTTTCAAAGATACTCAAATCGTACGTGTAGCTTTCAAATTAAAATTATTGCATTTGTGAGTGGCCAGTTCTTTTCCGTTGATCACAACATTAGCTCATCATAAAAGCTGGTTCTTTGCATGGTGACAGTGAACTTTACCCAAAACTAAATTGACTGATCTGGTTTGCATTCTAGCATATTGCAACATGAGTACTCATTGGGATTTTTTTTCTAAACACAACCAGTAACTCAGTTATAAAGTGACTAATTATAAGCCTGTGCAAATATTGAAAGTTCAGGTGTAACACATGGTCATTGAATATATGGTAAATATGTAAAACCCCTGGGAATCAAGGGTGTGGTTGTGGGATAACTCTAAAATATCTGAAGTACTGGTCAACAGATCGATGATAAAGTTTCGAACATATTGGAATCACAGGCATTTAAAATTTGGTATTGATATGCACTTTTTAGTCTCGTGTCAGAATTACTGTTGATAACCGGCATTTTTGCATGTAGAAAGTCAACATTAGAGTTTATCGTGACATCGTGAACTGTTTAATTGAGTTGCTGGTAGTGTTGTCGTGTGTCTTCACATGAGCACCTGGTGATATGACTTCCCCTCCAGTTGCATGGCTCCGCCTCCTTCGGAAGGGGATTCTTGTTTAGATTAGATTACAAGCTAATTCTATTAAATTTCTAGGTGTAAGAATACTGTAATTATTTAAATTTCTAAGTTTAACTTCAGTGTTTGTTACATATTGTTGAAACTCCTTGCTAGATCCACTGTTTGTTTTTCTAACCTCTGTTTAGCACTTTCCAGCCAGGCTTTAGCCAGTCTTGATGAAGTTAATTGTTTTTACAATCACTGCATGACTATCATGAAGGTTGAGCTAAGTGTAGCTGTTGAGTGTAGATGAGGCAAGTATGTGCTCAAACAGTGGAGTCTGGTGTTTGCCTGTAGTTTTACAAGTGCACAGTCAGTTAGCGATCAGTGTATTAAATGCTTCTTTTAGTATATTTCAAATGTTTATTGTGTTCAGTTTAAAGTTTATATATATTTTTTAATATTATCAAATTCAATTTAAGGAACAGTAAAATAACTAAATGCATTAGAGAACTGAGTGTTTTAGTTACATTAAATAACATTTAATTACATTAAGTATCTGTGTTTGACAATGTCGCAGGTGAACAACGCCACAGCTCGTGTGCAGACCAAGAAGCCACCCACGGTTCCCAACGGTGAGTTACGCAGTCAGTGTCTTTCACAAAAGCGACATAGTAGTAAGAAGATATTTCTCAACGTGGAATGTGTGAGAGAAATAAAGTCTGTTGGCAATAATTTCAAATTTTGATAGTTTTGTATGTTATTGTTGCCAGTTACATATAATTTAAACTACAGTATTATTTCTAGTAGTAATAATGATAATATGACAACAATAATAGTAATTTAACTGTACACTGAACAGTTTTTAAATTCTACAAATAAATTTGCGTTCTTCACTCGGCTTTTGTGTAGAAATAGTATTGTTGACAGTAAAGTTGTGCCCTTTAGTGGTAAATTGCTAGCTCCACATCTTTTTCTGTATTGTATTCGCATTCGTGTAGACATGCTGTTGAATAATTTATTTTCAATTTTTGAAATTGAAATAAAACTGTGCCAGTGAATGAGGTTTTATGATAATAGTTATGATTAAACCGCAGGTCCACCGTTGTGTGTCGATACTAGTACAAGTTTTCTGAACGTGAAATATCGACAAAATATTGCATGCTTGTGTTTGTAGGTGTTGGTTGTACTGATGATTTAGTATGATTGTAGTATCTTTACGAAATGAAAATCAGAATTTGCTTCACTGGTTCATGGGAAGATTTTGTAAGAATATTGTTATTGTTCTCCTTACATGTGGATTTGCTGTTTTCCCTTAGAGTGACAGCAGGTCTGATTGCTGCTTTGTAACTAGAGATCTTTACTTAGTGCTTTATACATTTTTGTTGTTTAACAAAGAATATGTCTTGTATATAGAACAGTAATATGAATTCTGTGTAAGATGCTGTTGTCTTGATTCAGCTCTACTAGACCGCTGTATTTGATAGATTTTGTTGACTTGGTTTCTTTCTTTCTTTTTTTTTACACATTTAGTTTTTCTGACTAGGAATGGAACGGTGCCCACACTCGGTGAGAGCTCAGACTTCTCTATCTTGGTGTTGGATTTGAATAATTGGTTAATTGTTGTTGGATTTTCACGTATTTTTGCTGTTTTTTTCTCTCCTGTTCTTCTCCTGTAATTTTGTTTAGTTTTGTCAAATTTCTTCATCAGTGTCTTTATCAACTTATTTTGCTGAATTCTTCAGACCGACACTCAGGAAGCTGATTTCAGTTGTTCAGCAAAATACTAAGCAGAAACTTGAATTTTAGATCCAGTTGAAGCCAGAAATGCAGTTTAATGTTGATGTTATTTTATTGGTGCCTGTTGTTAATGTTTTGATTCTACTTCAAGGACATTATGTGCACTAGATACCATGAGCACTATGTACCATATTAAACAATATTTATCAGGATATCTTCTTTTTTCTTGCATGATTTTCGTCATTATCGTGGGTTATACGTTAAATTGCTTATTTCTTCACAACAGGTGCCAGTCTTTGTATCATCAGATTTGCATTTTGTTTAAACATATCATAATTTTGTTGAAACTCTTGGGATTTTGGGATGCCGTAACTTTTTCACAGCAGCCCCGCTGAAAGATAGATGTTGTTGCTTATTAGCTTCCTGAGGTGGGCCAAGCCTGGACGTATTCTAATAGTTGGGTGTTGGTTGCTACATTCTCAGCTAGCTCTGTTGGTCTATCCTTTTTTAATTTTGTGTGTTGTTTGCGGTACAATCGAAACTGCATTACTCGACTGGGAACTAGGGTTGATAGCAGTGTTGATATCGATAGAAAGATAAAATGTTTTTACTGTCTTAGGCTTTATATATTAATTAGTTTTCAGAACATATGCTATATATGATATATTGTACAAAACTTCTGAAATTTATCAGTATACTTTGTTAGTAATGCAGCAAATCATAAAGGAGATTAATGATTTTATGTATGGTGCCATGTCAAGGAAGTTGTGATGACATGCATGAACCTACTGGGGGTGGGGGGATCTTCAGTTTCCTGAGAAGCAGTATTCAGACTAAAGAGAAAAGAAATCAGATTAATTAGTAACCTGCACACCTTTTTAAAGTGAAATGACTTTTTATTTCTTTGATAAGAAATAAAATAGTTAATATTGTGATTCAATTCAATTCATAATGTGTGTGGACAGCACAGATTCAGCATTAGCAGTCTTGCATGTTTTTGCTGATGTCTGTGGACAAACTATCACTGCTTTCTCTTTCGTGCCCCTGTCTTTTATTTCATTGTGAATTGTTGCTCATCAGTTTGAGCGTCAGTGCATTTAACAATGCATAAACACGCAAATTGGCTCTCGTGTGATTTTTTAATTTTTTTTATTATTTATTTATTGAAGAACTTAACGTGTTAAGCTAGATTTGAAATGTGCTTTTTAGTTACTGGCATAAAAATTTAAATCAATCAGTTTTATATAATTTGTTTCCATTCATTAATTTGGTTTGTTACTGTGGAGTTCTTTTGCTGGCTAATGTTTTTATGGTTTCTTATTATTACACATTTTAATGAGTTATTGTTTGTTGGTTATTTCTACCCGTGCCAGAATTGTGAAAAAGAATATACATAAGGAGGTGCCTAAACCAACTCAACTCCATTGTTTTTTTAATTGTTCATATTTGTTTAACAGCCTCTTAATACAGAGTTTGCATTTATTGCGGATGATGGTGGCGGCAGCGTGGTGTACCATTCTTGCACTCTTACTATTGTCCATACTCAAACCCTTTTCTCTTCTTTTTAAATAATGTGTCAAAAATGAGTGTTCCTCTTCTCCTTTGAATTGCTGTGTTACCGACAAAGTTGCCAACCAAATCTGTAGCACAGTGTAAGCTAGGAGAGTGGTTGGCAAGTAATAATGTTTATAATTACTGTCTGTCACATTTACTATTTCTGTTGTTTCTGCTAAAGGGAGTTGCTTGTGTTTGTGTCGTTCCAGTGTGCGTGCAGTGGCCGGAGGGTAGGTGTCAGCGCGGGGCAACATTTGCTTGCTACTTGCTAGTAGTTGCTACCTTGCAGCTTGATTAGCAAATCATTGCCTACCATCTCTAAGCATTTTCTTGACTTGCTTTTGTACTGCATCTGCTTTTGCTTGATTGCTCGTATTGTAATTTCATTTTGCATGCATTAAATTTCTGTAGACACCATGACTACATAATTCATATAATGAAATTCTGTGTTGAGATCGGCCGCATCTGCTTCCTTTCTAGTCATCAACGTACCACTTTTCTATATTAACTTCATGAGCGTTACTGCAGAAGAGTGGGTCTTGATTTAAAATAGGTTAATCTGTTGGTGGTGTATTACAATTAATATTACTGGATTTCTGGACTTTTCTATTATCTGTTATTATGAAAAGAACACTGTTCAAATTTCAAGATGATGGACAAAATTTTGAACTGCAGTAATAATAATTACTAATAAAATATTTTAATTAATGCCAAAATAAGTTACATGTTAATTTATTAGTCCAAAAATGTTAATTAAAAGTATGTAAATGTGGTGCATTAATCTTGTGTAAAACCACATTAAGTATGTTGTATTAATTATTCCATTAATTAAATTAAAATACTGGTGCGTTATTTTACTATTTCAGTTTGTAAGAGCGTGAATTCATTAACTTACAAGTTGCTATTAATGCTTTGGTTATTACAACATGCAAACTTTTGTGATAGGTCTGGTAACTTTCAAGAATGTGGGCAAGAAAATAAGATTAATGTATCCCAAAAAACCAGAGAATTTAATTTTAATACTGGAACTTAAAAAGATGTAACTGAGCTGAAAAAAAGTTTTTTGAAGTTGCATCACATATTAGCCAAGACAAACCGTAACAAAAATCAGTCGAGTTGATCAACCCTGGACCAGAGAAAATCTTTCCAGGGGCCACATGTTATATAGGCTTATCATACAGGAATAGGGGATTTAAATCACTGTAGTATGGGGGCTGCCAGTGTGACTTTAACTTTGTGATTGACAGTGTAGTTTATGCTACTGTGGCACAGCCAGCTGTTTTTCTAAAATCATATATTTCGGTTGTTTTAGAGTGATATTGTCAGTTGCTGTTTTTCTGCTAGAAGCATAAAGCATGAAGTACTTTGATAAAAATATTTTCTTAGCACTTATTAATATTTTACATATTTTACTCTGCAATAACCAAAATGATTAATTTAAGAAAAGTTTCATATAGTGGTATCGAACCCAGAGTAATTTTCTGGAGAGATGTATATTGAATTTTTTTGATTGAGGGTAGTATAACAAACTTAAATTACATTTAAACATAGGGATGTGTTAGTATTAACAATAATCTACAGAGACACCGAACATAAGAATGGCTAGACGGTTGTCTTCCCTCAAGTCCCTTTGTTTTATAGCTAATATATTTTTGTGCAACGCCTTTTGCGTGAGTTAGACTCCAAGACTGACTGTAACGACTCTTGCATATGTTATCCACTCCAAGTATTTGATAATATGTCTTAAAATATCAAGGTGCAATGCCTTTAATAAATCTAACCCCTGTACTAACTTTACACCTGAATAACTGCTGCTATTGGCAAAGTGTTGTTAAATGGACATTTGGTTGCGTTGTAAGGGGCTTTGTGTCTTTCTCCATACTGATATGTAGTCATGGTGAGTCTCAAAAACTGGAACCCTCAGACTGAAATCCATTTAGAGCGAAGTATTTTTTTTATCAGCCAAGGTAAAGTATTACAAAGTCGTGGTGTTATGGTTACTATAACCCACCAATTTTCTATAGATTCATTAATGCATGTTGATGTGCTTCTGCTTTGTCCTTCAGCAAGAGCTTTCATTGTTGAGAGCCCTCGCTACCTGGCGACTGGTAATATGGTAAAAGTTTTATTATCTTCTAAAGGGGTTCTGGTAATGGTATGTTACAATTAGTATTAATTAGCTTCTGGACTTTGTCCATCATCTAGTGTTCCAAACAGACTGCATCATTTCCGAAACTGCACGAGTTCTGTCCACAGTTGATAAGGCGCAGAGTAACACTTTCAAACAGGCCTTCTTCTTCTTTATTACGCCGTCTGCTTTACAGGAGGTTGGCATATTATGAACAGGATCCTTCCATCCTTTTCTCGGACTGGGACCTGTTCATATACGTTCTTGGCTGATGATCCAGAAGTGGTTTGCCATTGCCTTCTTCTGTGTGTGAATGGAGTAATTGTTGGGATGCCACGGAGAAACCGGGGAAGCCCCGGAGGAAAACTCCGTGTTGCCTAGACCACGGCCTTGCCCAACACAAGTTATAAATTCGGGCACCGTCGGGAATCGAACCCGAGACCCCAGGATTACAAGGCCAGCATTCTAACCGCTAGACCACCGTGGTGGTCAAACAGGCCTAACTGAGTAGATATTCCCCATCTTTTTACCTGGGAATGGCAGAATCCAGTTTCTGGAACACTTTTGTTCTGTTCAGAATTCTAGATGATAGACACTTGTTCTTTTACAGCATCATGTTGAATCATTTTAATGAAATTAGAATGCTTTGTTTGATAAATGTAATGCTGTAGACTGTAACGATTTGATTGATAATGAGAACAAAACTAAGAAACAGTTCAATAGTTACATTAGTTTTGTCACTCTTAAGTGCATATTTTTCTGCTGAAGATGACATTGAAAGTGAGAATTACCCTTTTTGCTGGCTGTCTTTATTTGAGTTTTGTATATTTACAATAATCACAGCAGTTATCTGGTTACCAGTGGTGAGTTATGTATGTACTGTTTACTTTTTCCTCTATGAAAGTCTGTGTACACTGAAAATTTGCTATGTTTTGGAACTGAAGAAGTTAATGATATAAACATCTAATGTTAAATATGGCAAAGTAATTGTGCCCAGATTACGGAAAGTACCCTCCTTTCCCATTTATGATGCAAGACTTTTCTTTTACTTCATTTACAAAAATTAGTTTTATCTGAAGGTTTATGTGGCAAAATCTATTTTCATATATGTGAGAAATTCTGGTTGTTATAAAAAGAAAAACGAGAATGGGAGAAATAATATGTTCAAAAATTACTTATTTACACTGTATAGTGCTGAGGCAAAAGTTCATTACCTTAGAAAGGCATTCGTGTTCCCAGAAGGTGATGGATCATTTCATCCAGTTTTTTTGGCATGTTGTTGACTGATGGATTTACTTTATGATGTAACATCAGGCACAATAAATGGCAGTGTAGAAAGGAGACTTCTGTAAGAAACTAATATTCAGCTGGTTTAACTGTCTCAAATGCTGAATAGAATGTCTAGGGGAGTATTTATTATACTGTGCTCCTTGGTGTCCAATGACATGGAAAGTTCTTGGAGGCAGGGCAAGTTCTGAAAATGGAAAGTGAAAGAACATTGAAATATATTGCAGATTGGCAAATCTTTTGCAGTATTTTTTGTGTAAGAGCCATAATTGGCTGGCCGGTTAATCAGTAAAGTTTCTGGCTATAAATTTGGTCACAAAAGGATTTCTCTTTGCCACCATGTTCAAAATATGACTGCTTTTGAGTGAATATAAGGAATGCTTTCCCAAGGGAGTGAACATGATTAAAAACTGAAATTGAAAATTTAGCTGTGTCCTGTGCCAATATTAAAGAACTAGTGCTAACTGCCATGTTTATAATAGTGGAATGTTGGAAATGACATAATCATTAACCTGAGTAAATAACTTTGAAACTACTCTAAATTGTGGTAAAAATGTAATTAGATGTAATATCAAATTAGCTCCATTTTTGCACTGAGATTGTGTGTATTTGTAATTGAGTTCTACAAAAAGTTACAGGTGAATCTTAAGATATTTTCTTTGTGTAGTGCTCTCATCAACAAAATTGGTATACATTATGTGATAATGTTCTGAATGTAACATGATTTCCAGCTGACATGGCTGCCTCTAGAACTGTCATCTAAAGCAGAAGAGTAAGTGGGTGTAGTTGGGTATCGCGAATATCCTTCTACAGATAGTAATGTGCTGTTATACATTCAGTAAACTTTTTTTGCTGGTCTATAATATTCTGTTACCTTATGTGGGTCAGGCTACCGGCTTCCAGCTGTGCCTTGGTCCTGGCTGGGGGGCACAGGGACCCCTCTTACAACACCTTCCACCTCTACTGCAGCTCCCCTGGTGTTGACACCTCGTACTGCCCGGAGGAGGTACTATTCAACTGTGTTACAGTGTGCCGGGCCTTGTACAGTAACATAGAACTGGGGTAGAAGTGATGTCACTCTGCCATATGCGTGGCAAGCTGCAATATATGTGTACAGCACGACAACATGGTTGCTAAAGCATCTTCAGCTCCTCTTTTCCTGTTTGGTCCTTAAAACATTTTTCTCATTTGTTTTACTGAACCACATCATCAGTGCCTGTTAGTACCACATTCTTCTGTTTACCCGTTGACACCTTCACCTCCTAGTTACAACACACTGTCTGTAGAAGTTCTTTCAAAACCCCCCACCAAAAGACATTCACATTGATGATGAACATTAGAAAACTTTATACTATGCAGCTTATTCTGAAAACCCAAAGTTATACATTAAACTCTAGTTGTGAAAACCCAAGGACTAAATTACTGTATATATTATAATAAAACTTTTCGCTATTTCTTCCTATCCCATTTTAACATGTATTAGACTGTGTAAATATGTTTTCATTGGGTAGGCCAATATGAGACAAGGCCTATGGAGAATTAGAATGAATATGGAATTGGAGAAGCTGTTCAAAAGCTCAGATATTGTAGCTGTAATAAAGGCAAGAAGGATAAAATGGCTTGGACATATACTCCGAATGAGTGATGATAGAGGATGTAAGATGATCATCAATAGTAAACCTCCTGGCAAATTAAAGAAAGGAAGACTGAAACTCCGATGGATCGAAGACGTGGAGTCTGATCTTAAACAGATGGGTGTAAGAGGCTGGAGAAGGAAAGCACAGAATAGAATAGGGGAGACTGGGCATCGATCGCAAGAGAAGCCAAGGCTACACTGAAAGGGCCGTAGTGCTAAAGAAGATGAAATATGTTTTCATGTATGTGCACTGTAACCTGTATCTTGAATGAGGCAGAATATGGCAGATTGACATCAGATACCATGTGTTTGTGTGTTATCTCGCAGCAATATTGGAATGGTGTGACCTGCATGACTGTCCTAAACATCCAGATGCATGATTTGGATTTATAAGACCATTGAAACATACAAGTATGTGTGATGAATTTGCCTGTTTGGTTTGACATCACCTCACATATTGTGCTAATTGCAGAAGCAGTCTGCATAACATTTTGCACATGTATCTTGGATATATGGGAAATAAAAATTTAATTTCTAGAAGATTTATCCCAATCCATTCACAAAAATTTGTTACAATATTAAAAACCCCTTAAGCTTTCCAGTGAGGAGAGAAAAATACATTATAATGACTTCCAGAGTCTGATTCTAATATATCTTGTATTTAAATTAAATATTTGATGTATTTATTTTGGTTTTTAACAGCATAACTTATGAGTGTTATTTACTTCAGATGTTTTCAATTCATACATCAGGTTGCATAGGTTGTGGTTCAGTGCTGCTTGTGAACCCTCTCTCAGTTTTGTCTGACCTTTGCCTCAAATTTTATCAGAAAAATCTGTTTCCTTGTGCAATGATAGTTAATCAGTTTATATTTGATTAAATGATTTGTCTAGCCTGGGGGGAATGATGCAAGGTCCAGTGAGTTTGCATGACAGATCTTAACTGAGCACCAGCCCAGGTTGAGACACAAGGCCCGGTGGACTGTTGACGTGTTGATTTTATCCCTGCAACCCTAGCTGGGTCTCAGACACAGTGAAGGCCCGGTAGCTTGATGCGATGGTGTGTGGGCGTGCTGTGCATGGTATTGTTTGTGTGTGCCCCAGCAGCTGCAGCATTGCGTGGTGTGGCAATCCAGCGTGGGAGGGCACGTGCTGCATATCCAGCGGCTGCAGCTGCTGCTGCTGCGTTTGCTCGTCACCCGACACCACTCACTGCAGCAGCCGCTACTGCACTTCATGGATACACACCGTGAGTACCGTTTCTTGTTGTATCAGCTCTTTGTCTGCACAAGAAACAGAAATTATACTTTTTGCTCAAATATGTAAAATCTAACAGGACCACATGGGTAAAAAGTATATTCTTGTAAGTTGGTTGGAGTTATGACTTGAGATAGTTCTTTGTGCCTCCCTCCTCACACATACACACACACAGTATATATGTGCACATATTAGGCTTATAATTTTGTAAGTGAGGCTATGGAGATCCACCTCAGTTTCAATCAAGTGAGAAGGGAAGAAGGCTTCTCTCTGGGTAAAGTCTCTCGTCGAGAAACTGGAAAAAGAAGTATTTGTTTTGTCAAAAAGATAAAAACGAGGTTGTCACATAGTTGATCCATGTTCCTGTCATCCATTTATGAACAATAATTGCTGTGGTCACTTTGTGACTCATGGCTATCTTAGAATGTCACTTGTCACTGACAGTAATATTAACCAAGTCTGGCTCGAATGGTTGATCATCACTGTCACCATATACCACAATTATGTTTAAACTCTCTTGGCGACTCATAATTAATGAATTCCTGTTATATTCATTAGAAACCTCCTGGTACTTAGCCCATCACTTTTACCTTGAAGAAAGTGACAGCAGTTTTCTCTGACATACCAATCATTTTTACCATTCAACAAAGTGCTGTGCCCAGAATACTATTAAAATTAAGTCAGTGGTGGTGCCTAAGGTGTTTGGTGCACGTGACCCAGTCAGTCAGGCAGTACATGACTTGCGACATATTCGCATCAGTCTTACGTTGTGCGTGGTCATCATACTGAAGATGGTAAAATTCAGTATATCCATTTATAACCATCATAAAGTCCTTGATATAGTAAAGTTGCCCTGCTACACAACATGGAAACACCTGGTGGAAAGTAGGTCAAACTCCTACTCATTCTTGACCTCTGCACTAGAAGTGGGTGAGTGATCAGTGTCATGCTCCAGCTGTGCTTTACCCATGGGGAAAGGACCCCTGGTACCCATAGGATAGGAGACTGGTTGGCTGCCAGAGCTGGCTTGGTTGCAGAGACTTGCTCTTGCCAGGGATCAAACCTTGTCGTCTAATTTAAAGTTATTGTACTGACTGAATTATCCTAGCTCAGTGCCTTTATATAATGGTAAGAATTGGTCCCATATCCATTAGCTGTAAAGAGAGTGTAATATTTCCTCTACACTACTTATTAGAATGGAATTAAAAGTAAATAACTTGCAGTCTGGTAAATTATGCAAGAGGTTTGTGTATGTTTACATTCAAAGAGGTTCTGATAGGAGGCATTAATATCATGGTGGGTAGATCAGCAGCAATCAGGTAACTGAATTTGTTTTGTGTGTTGATATCTGTAAAGTGGTCCCTGATTTGCATTTTGGTTGTTAGCATGTTACATAGTTCAAGGATCTGTTGAATTCTTGAAGTTGCATTGATGTGTGAAACATAACCTGAATGTAATGCAAGATTTAATGCTGGATACAGCGAAGTTGTAAAGTACAAAACAGAAAGGCCATCATGATATGTTGATCTCTTTTAATTCCCACTGAAAGCTGTTCCTTCCATCATAAATTTCAGGTTCCCCTGTGGTCTGAATTTGCAGCACCCGTTGTGCTGCTGGAAAATCATATTTTTGCAAAAAAGTAATCTTAATTTCCTTCAGTTAAGTCATTCTGACACTGTTGGGCTTTAGCAGCAAGAAACTGTCATCTGACCCAACGAGTGTTTTTTCACTATGTCTTGCAGACCATCAAACTTTCAAAAAGGCGGAGATAAAACAGAAATAATGGTAATGAACATGCTACCATGATCCACACTAATTAATAAAGTTGAAGGTTTTAGTGTTGGACATTCCTAATACATTGTTGCCAGGTGAAGTCATAAAAATATCATAGTGATTTTGTAGATTGATTCTTTGTAAACAATACACAAATTATTATTAACATTTGTGGCATTTATTTGAATGTGTGGAATTGCAGTTACAGTTTGCGTTGCAAGCTGATCAGTGCATCGAGTATGTAGAAGTTAGAAGAAAATTGGATAATTTGATCTTTAACTTGCTGGTCTTGTGTTTTATACTTTGCATTAGATACGTAATCATGATTGTTTTGTTATTGTGATATATCATCGAGATCTCTTTCCCATTAATATTAATTTGGGGTTTGAAAAGAAAGATAGTCACATTGGGGTGTATGTAGGGTGTGTTGTAAGACATTTAATTTTGTCTAAATATTCCTGCACAGACAAAATGGCAGAAGAATTGTCATGAAGAAACAAATGATCTATGTGCCATTCCTCAGAACATTTTTGCTACACGTCTTTTATTCCACAGAACCTCTTGAGTAGAAATATTGTCACAGATTGTCCCTGTGGGTTAACTTTTGCTAATTCCACGAGGCAGTTTGTTGTTTTTGTGGTGCAAACTAGTCTGCGTTAAACATTTGATGGTTTTGAGGTGTGGGTAAGTGCCTTATTTCTGCGTGAACTTCAGTTGACGACTGCTTTCGTATAATCTTTCACATCACCTGCATGTTTATATTAGTAACACATCATTATAAAACATTTCTTTTATGATGCCATGGCTATAACTGAAGGGGTGATGCAACAAACAACATGCCAGTCTCTCAGCTCTGATGTTCACAATGTTCCCCAGTTGCATATTGCACATTTCAGTGATTATAAGGAAACAAAATGTAGTGTTCTTTCTGAGATACTCTGTAGGTGAGAGCCTTCTCTGTATTGCTGTCTGTAGCTATTGATCGTAAATATAGGCCACATATCATGTAAGTATTAGCTACTGTCCACAGACCGGGAGAAAAGCCCTGCGGGGGAAGTCATTTCTGGGGTGGTGCAGGGGGAATGTTTACTATCAAGTGGACTAGAGGGCTGCTATTGGTGGGAAGTGTGATACGTTAGAATTTTATACTACTACACACAGATTGAAAACATCAAGCAGTTAAGAGTATGAAGATTTCTGTCTTCTGGGTTGTCGCGCTGTGTAGTCTGGTCGATGTTTACCAACGTTTCAGAGGTCATATTTATCGCCCTGATAATGGAGGTAGTATGACCTCTGAAACGTTGGTTAACATCGACCAGACTACACAGCGCAACAACCCAGAAGACAGAAATCTTCATACTCATCGCCCTGATCTAGCAGGGATTTTCTCTTGGTCTGTGGACTGTAATATATATGAAAACTTGGTTATCAGATTTTGTTTTCTGAAAAGTTGTTCACAGTCATTATACATTATAAATTCTTCCTGTCCGGCCTGACTGCCTGAGACAGAATGACTTTTCGGATATGTGATTGGGATAAAAATATTTTTGGTTAGAATTTCTCTTGTTATTGGTCACAAATAAAATTTATCCAAAAAACCTGTGTTCAGTGGAACATAGTTTGGTACCCATTGTGTTAATTTTTCTTAGGAGTAAGATAGAAGAAATGAATGGCTTTATATTTTACATTGTAATGCAGCTAGTGATTAAAGACACACAGTTTGTGTCAAGTATAGAATAAAATTATGATAATTATAGTTGGTCTTTTCTTGTTATGAACTTTTAGAATGAAATTTTAGAATTACTGAATGTTTCATGTTCTGTTGTATTGTCCTTCTTTTTTCCATGTACTGAATTAATTTTTTTTTCATTCAAATACATGTTGCAAGGTAGGACATATGCAGGATGTTATTTTGTACATTGTATATTGTGCTTGTTTAAAATACCTTGGCATGAATATGTTCTATGTATAAGAAATAATTTTTTCCCCCCAAAGCCTTGGTGACGCCTGTCTTGTTTTTTTTCGCAGTAGTGTCTACTACGATCCCTTCTTAGCAGCACATGCAGCCACTGCAGACCCTAACTATAGATTACAGGTAACCATTTCTTTGTTTTTTATCCTTGAAATATTGTTCATTGCTGTCTTGATATCGTACTGTTTTGAACGTTTTGTATTTTATTGCAGTTTTCAATATACTGTTATATTTCTCAAAAATTAACTGAATTGTGTCAGATATGTAAGAATTTGATTGTGAAATTAACCCATTCTCTTAAGATTTACCCATTCATCTGTTTGGGAGTGAATGAAAAGATTATTGTTGTGTAACCATTAATCATGTGAAGATTTCTGTCTTCTGGGTTGTTGTGCTGTATAGTCTGGTCGATGTTAACCAACGTTTCAGAGGTCATACTGCCTCGAGGCAGTATGACCTCTGAAACGTTGGTTAACATCGACCAGACCAAACAGCTTAACAACCCAGAAGACAGAAATCTTCATACTCACCGCCGTGAAAACCTCAAATCTTACATTAATCATATATTTTATTAGTCTGTATCTTAAAGTTTTCTGCTGAATGATTTGCTGTCCTTTTTATATGAAAATTGGAAGTGACATTTTCATTTGCTTCAGTTATTATCATGGTAGAACTTGTTTTGCTTTAAAATTGCATTATATTTAAGTTCAAATGAGATTTTAAGTGAATGGGTTGTAAGTATAAATAAAAACTACAAATGCTGTATTGTCTTCCTTAAGCCACATTTGTCTTTGGTGTACTAGTCTTCTTGTTCCAAAAGAAGTTGTGCACATTGAGTGTATAATTCCGTTATCTTTGTACTCTAATGACTTGTGTATGGAAATGTGGTATTTCAAGTTGTAAAATTCTTGACTGTTTGTGGGATAAATGTTTGTGCATGAGCCACAGTGACTACTTACTACATTTATGGTTGTGAAATCTGAGAATTGATCAAACTGTATGCAGTGTTATCACATACTTCACTACATTAATTATTCAAACCAAAATTGCCAGAATCCATGTCCTTTATCAGAACATGGGTTGAAATTGGAGATTACAAGCACAAAATTTTGAACTCTTATTTCAGTGTCCCTGAAAGACACTTAATTTTAACTATTTAAAGTAAGACAGATTATCAAAGGATCAAACTTGTTAAGTATTTTTACAGTTCCACCATTGGACATGGTTTGGAACCTCATTTAACAAAACCATAATTGGAGTTGATTTTGTGCAAGGACTGATTGCTTTGGCATGGCCAGTGCGTAATTTATTCAGTGTCTAGGACTTAGTGGTTTAGAAGCATGGCCTTACCTGTGCCTTATCATGCTGATGCACTTGCGTGGGAATGTTATAGTTTTTATTCTGAGTGCCTGTTACGATTTTCTCAGGTTGCGAGATATTTCACGTGCATATTATTTGTAAATACACATATCATCCCGCGAAGTATCTGATTTTAGAATAGAATTTAAGCAAAAGATTATTCTGCTTAGTTTAGAGTTTATGAAAGTTGCAGTTTTTAATTAACTCTGTTGTTTTTGTCATACTGGCTTTTTTATTTATAAGCCATTTTATTTGAGCTTCTCATAATGTGTGGGTTATATTCAACCAATACTAAATAGAATATAAATTTTCTTCGTGTACTGCTCAGTACCACATTTGTGTTCATGTATTTCAAATGTTTTGAATTATGTGCAGACATCTCATATATTGAAGATGGCTGTCTTCTGGGTTGTTGCACCGTGTATTGTGGTGGAAGTGTACCGATGTTTCAGAGGTCCTTGCCAACTCCATTATCAAGGCGATGGACGCAGCAAGGACCTCTGAAACATCAGTAAACTTCTACCTGAATACACAGTGCAAAAACCCAGAAGAGAGCCTTCTTCAGACTCACCGCCGTGAAAACCTCAAATCCTACATCTCATATATTTTTAAAACGCGATGTTGCATAATACAGAAATTTTAGCATGTAAATTTTGTTGTCATTAAATTGGTAATACACTTAAGCCAGATAACGCTTACTATTTATGGTTTGGACATGTTTATTGAATTTTCATTAGTTTTGAGTGATATAAGAAGGAAAGTGGTCCCCCCACCCCATGCACACACGTGAGCGTGGAACCCTTTAGTTTTGTGGATCACAGATGTGTAATTTGCAGTTTTCATAAACACTCCAGTGATTTTGAGTCAAAAAAGTTTTCAAAGAAATTAGTGTTTTTGTTACTATCACTAGCACACCTAATCGTTGATACTGTTGTCATAGTTGACTTTTGCGTCCTTTCTGTTTGCGTTGAATGTTGGATGTGTCTGTTTTAACAAATTTTGCCCAGTTTATGTGCAGTGTTTTATTTATTAGATGATTGGAGGAGTTGCTCTTTTGGATTAATAATGTATTTTCTTTAACTCTTTGGGTGCTATTCATTTCTATAGAAGTATTTCTGTTTCCATGCCACCAGTGCTATACACATCTGTAGAAGCATTTGACACACAAGCTCTTTATCGCATGATTATTCAGCTTGGGCCAATCTGGCTACTGAAATTACATAGTCTGACATTTTTGGATGCTTTATAGAAATTTCCAGTGGCATGGTAACATTTCTCTGTCTCACTGGAAGAGTAAATTTTGTATTTAAAGAATAGGCTTTTAGTCGGTACTAGTAAACATGCCATACAAATTGTGATGATAGTGTATTTAGTGATAGTGAAAATATAACTGCGTTCATCTTGATCAGATTTATCAGACACAAATAAGGTACATGGACTAGAAATAAAGAGATTCACAAGAAAAACCTACGGTAGTAGTATTGACCCAGTACAGGGCATTAGAGAAATGAAGTACATAGAGGATTAATATTTTATACCAGTATTTACGTGACACGCATAAAGTGTGTGTAGGAAAAGAGGCTGCTCTACAACACAACACTGTGTTAGTATTTGTACAAAGCAAGTCATAAAGAAGAAGCTCTGTTGAGTGTGAGATTGATTGTAGAAAAAGAATCATTGTTATAATGGTACTCAAAATTATAGAAGGCACTGTTGGTTTGAATTTATGATCAGTATGTTGACTCCTTCATTAACACAGTATGATCGTCTGGGTAGTATATCAGATTTGCTTTCATAATTTAAGTGCAACGTGAATGAGGTAGATTCTGTCTTCTGGGTTGTTGCGCTGTGTAATCTGGTCGATTTTTACCAGCGTTTCAGAGGTCATACACCTCCGCCATCATCGCCACGATGATGGAGGCAGTGTGACCTGAAACGTTGGTAAACATGTACCATACCACACAGCGCAACAACCCAGAAGACAGAAATCTTCATACTCACTGCTGTGAAAACCTCAAATCTTACGCGAATGAGGTAATCTTAATTTTTAATTGATAACTTCTCATATATGTTTCAGAAGTGAATTTATCGAGAAACTACTATTACTACTAAATTAGTATTACTAAGTAATAGTAATTTTTTTAAAAATACTTTGTGGCACATTGAGAAGATACTAAAATTTTTTGTGTTGAACAGTTACTGGGAACAGAATAAGAAATTATGAAATACTGTTTTTATTTTAATATTGTTTCGATGAATGAACTTCTTTTACGATATTTTCCTAAGGGTCGGCCTTACATGTGCAATAGTACTTTTATTTATAGTTCATATTAATACATACTGCATATAAATTACGGTCCATAGAAGATGATAAGCTTACATGCTGTATGTTTAATGCATTGTGTGTGTTGCCAGATAATGTTGCATATGTCAGGGTGTCTAACAATTTGCAGGGTGGACTGCTACATGAACCTGTTTGCTTACATACAAAGTTTTACGATCTTTACTTTCATTCTTTTGTAATTCATATATATATATTTGACTAATATAAATTAGTATGTATCCATGTTATTTAAACTTATGTTATTACTATTTTTGCCAAAAGAACGTTAAGAAATAAAATGATTAATTCTCGTCTGCACTTTATTTTGTGCATATATTTAATGAATTTTGAATACGGAAATAATGTTTTTTGCTTTTGTAATGAAGGTTAAAAAGATTAGTTCTTGTTATAAAAGTTACCACTGAGAATGCAGTTGCTGTAGCATTTAGCCCCACCCCCAAAAGTATAGTGTTATTCCATAGAAAATCGAAAGGACATAACATATTTTTGTATTATTTCTTATTGTTTTTAAGCCCGTTTCTAGTTGGCAGTAAACTATAAAAAACATGATTGCATTGGCAAATGTTCCAATGGTATTTTAATGAATCTGAAGAGAGCCTGGAACTGTTAGGCACCCTGTTACTATATCTATGTCTGTGTGTTTGAGAGGCTGTTTCTTGTTTCAGGCTGGGAACCCTGCAAATGAGGTAAAAGTGGTTGTTTGCTATTTGAATGAAGTATTTTGAATCTCCTAATATGCATCGCTTTTTTGTATCTCCCAAAAGGCTCGTGAAACTTGAATGGAAAATAATTTATGCTGTATGCACTAGATTTTGATTGCATATATACTTTTAACCAGCTAGATCTTTGCTTGTAATGTTTGACAAAATGGAAGTCCAGAGTATGTAGTTTGGAGTCCACAGATTGGTTTTAAGGCTCACCACAAGAAACTGGCAAGGTCTGTCTGAAGGCATCGAGCGATTCCTTGTAAATTCCAGATACTTTTAATTGTAACCTCACTCATATCCTTTCATATCACAGTAATTGCAAAGCTGTACTTAATATACCTACTCACGTACCCACAACTAGGAATAGAAAATATACTGTAATTCGAATATTTCTGTCTTCTGGGTTGTTGCGCTGCGTAGTCTGGTCGATGTTAACCAATGTTTTGGAGGTCATACTGCCTCTGTCATCGCCCTGATGACGGAGGCAGTATGACCTCTGAAACGTTGGTTAACATCGATCAGACTACACAGCGCAACAATCCAGAAGACAGGAATCTTCATACTCACTGCTGTGAATACCTCAAATCTTACGTAATGTAATTCCTCTGTGATAGCATTTGCTGTTGCACGTAATTTTGGGTCAGTTGCAAACACGGTGGACATCATTTGACCTGCTAATGACTTGCACTGTCAATATGTAAAGGTATCTAACGTGCCGAGTGTTTGGCGTGTCTGCTTACAAGCTAGCTTGGTTAATTGGAAAATATATAATGGTCATTTGGGATTTGGTTGGTGATATGAGCATGGTAATTGTGATGGGAAGGACATGGTATTGTAATGCCAGTGCTAAATGTATATCTGATGGATTTTAATTTGAAATTGAGATTGGCAGATCTAATGGCAAATGGTTTCAGCAAGTTGAGTTGAAGTTGGCACTGCCAAAATCTAAATGTTCTTATAGTTGCACTTGCCTCCACATTGAGAGCTATAAATTTGTTTTTATTACTATCATTATTATTTATATATGCCTTGTTTGTAGTGTAGTAGTATTGTGATTTAGGAGCAGTTCACACAGATATTTAATGCATAAATTAATACATATTTTTAGCTTAGTTCTTTAATTAAATTGTTTGTATTTGTTCAAAAGAGAGGATTTATGTTTTGAGTTTCTGCTTTTCCATGCAGACATTACAAGGTGACATACCGATGTCAGCTGGAGCCATTGCTTGCCAACTGTGGACTCAATGTTGAGTGTTGCTGTAGAGAGTAGTTTGGCTTGGTTATGCTCACTGCCAGTTGGAAGTGGTTGCTGCTGCTGCATGCCGGTTATAATTGTGTTGCAGGCCGCCGCAGCAGCTGCGACCCCGCTACTAAAAACCCCTCTGTCGACTGCCCAACAGGCGAGTTATGCGGCAGCTGCCAGCTACACGGCCGTTGCCGCGCGTGCTTACGGTGCCGCAGCCGCTGCAGCGCAACCTGTGGCAGGCTATGCTGCTGTTGCGGGGTGAGTCAGGACTTGACATTGGAGAGACGTATTGCCCAGGACTGAGTAAAATATGAGGCATTAACAAGTGTGTTAATGAGAGCTTAGTTATAGAAATTTTAAGCTTTGGAAACCACTTTATATTTACTGTAAACACGCATTGTTCCTGTGTAGGAATTAACCAAATTTGTTGAGTCCAGTATAAAGAGTGTTCATTTTATCATGCAAGTCAACTTCGCAGACCCTGTGTGATCCATGTGCAAGGTGGAATTGGTCACCTGATAGATATACAACAACTTAGAACTTAAGTGGTTAGGGAGGAGTGAGGGACTGTTGGCATGGCATCCAAAACAAGCATAACCAGACTGTACAATGCAACATCCCAGAAGATAGCCATTGTTATTCAATGTCAACTCAGTTCATTGACCTATTTGAGAAAGCAAGGTGGGTTACCAGGAAAGTAGAAAGGTCTTAGTTACAGCTGAGCAGTAGATGCTGAAATTTCAAAGAAACTATTGCGGTAGATGGCACACTTTGGAACTTCGGACTGTTTACTCTCTTCTCGGAGCAGAATTGTGTGCAATTCAAAGCCATGGCGAAAAAACTTGAGTGAGAGAAGCCGTGATACTTCTGTGTAACAGAGTAATCTTCTTGGTTGCTGGTTTGAATTCCCAAGTTCCAAATTGGCTTTCATCTGTGAGTTTGATGTGAAGCTATGCGGAACTTATTTATTTAAGGATGTGTCTTGAGGATGTTGCACACAGAATATTTATTGTTCATATCTCTAGTGGTTTCCATTGACTTAAAATGAAATATGTGAAAATTTGAGATATTCTGGAGGATATGCCTGAAAGCACCTTAACCTCTGTTTTCCATGCCATTATCCTCAAAAGTCCTACCGTTTCATTTTACTCTCCAATGTCCGTTCTGATCACCACTAATACAGAATACACTCTCCAAGTTCCTTGTACTCCCATAGCTTTTGGCAGATACTGAAAAACGTTTTGAGATATATAGTTAATATGATATTTCAGAAATTACATTTTGTCATTGTATGCAACCTGTCATTCTGTGTCAATGCCATCTGAGGCATGAAGGTGACCACTCACCTCTCCCTAGTCCCTGAAGTTAAATTTGCTTTGAGCCATACTTCGGCTCACATGCCAAGCTCTAGTTATCACTTTTGAAATTTGAAGCTAAAGAAATTTTTTTGCATTGCTTCTGCATTTCAAATTTTAGAATACGGGTAACCCTCGATTTGCGTCAATTCAGAATAACGCTGCTTTTGGAACCGGCAAGTCAAAAAGTGAAAACAATTATATTTTACCATTATTTATAACGTTTTACAATGTATCTCGTACCGATTCTTATAATTAATCGTAATTCTTACATCACAGATTTTGAATAAAAATTAAAAATACTCATTGCTAAGTAGTTGCGAGATAATCTCCTAAAAATCCGCCAGCATTGCGCAACAGTCGCGTGAACATTGGTCACTCTTCACAGTGAGTCATTTGCGTTCAGCCTGATAAGGGAGTAAGGAAAAATGCCCTCAGTTCGCTTCTTGTTGACACATTGAATGTGCTGAAAACTGTGCACTAAACATGTTTGTGATGTTGTTCGGCCACTATTCTGCAGTAGCAACTGTTTTATTTTTATAAATTGTAAAAGAGCCACAATGTCTGGTAAGAGAAGTGAATGTGTTGCTAAAAAGTTGCATAGGTCTATTGCATTAGAAGATAACATAGGCGTAATTTGTAGAATAGAAGGTGGTGATACCCGTCGTAATGTGCGCAGAAGTATGAAGTTGCCTCCTTCCACTGTGACTACCATAATGAAAAATTCATATAAAAAGTGATAGTGGAACCAAGGTTCCGGAGAATTAGACGTAAATACGTCTATACGGAAAGGAAGTTTATATATTGGCTTTATTCTAAATATTTCCTTTATACCCGCTTTACAATTGAGTAAAGTTTGATTAAGACCTTAATCAACTTGAATTAGTTACCCTTAAAATGGGTCTGTGATAGCTGAATGTAATGTAAAGTAATGTAATGTTTTATAGGTTACAACAATGCCGAGTAAACAGATGACGTTTACTAGGTAACAACAGTGCCGAGTAATGTAACGTTTCCTAGGTAACAACAATGCTAAGTAAACAGATGACGTTTCCTAGGTAACAATAATGCCGAGTAAACAATTGACGTTTCCAAGGTAACATAACAATGCAGTTACACTTTTTCGTTTCACTTTTTGCCGAATGACACTGACCCTAAAATATAGACGTATTTACGTCAATAAAACAGTCAATGCAACAGGCTACGAGAGTAAGTGCAATGCAAGTGAGTTATAGCAGAAGTAAACGTTTAGAAAGAATAGAGAAATTACTGTTGCTGTGGGTGGATGACATGAATCGAAAAAACGTTCCCTTGACTGAAATTGCTATCACGGATAAGGCGAAGTCAATTTTTGAGGAACTTTTTTGGGTGCCAGGAACACATGTCATTGATTTACATTATAAAAAAAGTTTCAATTTACGCCAATTCCATTTACGCCAGTTCGTCCAGGAACGCATCCCCGGCGTAAATCGAGGGTTACCTATACTATATTAAATGGCTCTAGTGTTGCTCCTATTTCACAAGGTCATGCGTGTGTCCATCATGTTGTTAATATTGTTTGTAAATGTAATACTGCCCCACTACACGACATGAAGGCACTTGGGGGAAGGGACGTTTAGCTCCCATGCCTACTTGACCTTAACACTAGACGGAGGTGAGTGATAGCATCACGCCTTGGCTGCACTTTTCCCCGAGGGGATGACATCCAGTACCCATTGGATAGGCGGCTTAGTACATCACAGAGCCAGTCTGGATGCAGAGACTTGAAGAAAAGTCTTTGCCCATGCCAGGGATCAAACCCTGTGAGTATGTCAGAAGGTGCTAATGTCATTGGTTTCACCTCAGATTTATAGTTGCACTTTTGCTTAATTATTTTTCAGTTATGGTCGTGAGTATGCAGATCCTTATCTCGGCCATAGCATAGGACCTGTTGCCGGTTATGGGGTAAGTAGTCATTTACACTGTGTGGAACTTGTATTGGTACATGACTGATAGTGATATAGAACTAGTTATCCCATTGGTGGAAGACTAAATTTAGTCTGTTTCAAAATTAGTCAGTGTATTTTAAGTGACATATTTTCAATTATGGGGTCCGCAGTGGCCACGTGGTCTGAGGCATGGGTCTTGTGCTGCTTGGTTGTGGGGACCGTGGGTTCGAATCCCACTCAAGCCATGGATGTTTTTCTGTGTTGTGCTGTCCTGTAAATAGGTAGAGGCCTTGTGACGGGCCGATCCCTCGTCCAAGGAGTCCTACAGAATGTCCATATAGCAAACCAACTAAAAAGATGGGGACCCGTAAAGCGTACCGGAAAATGTACAAACATTGTTAAAACCGGACAAAGAAGATGTTTTCAATTATTATTCAGTCACAGCCAGTAGAAGTAATGAGGCACTATTTTAGCACCATAATGTAAATCATTCAAGAGGTGACGGGAAATAGTTTAATACGTTCTGGGAACTTTGGCCTGGAGGAGAGATCCTTCAGTGTGGATCTTCTTATCACTTATCCAGTGGGGCAAAAATTGATGGGGTGATGGGTAGATGCATATAATGCCCAGATATGGATTATACTTTCCATACAACTAGATAAATGATGAGCTAAGAGTTTTTTCACCACCACAAGTATTTCATATCTCAGATATGTTATTTATTTGATGCAGAAGTCAGTAGGCCAGCTAATTTTCTTCATTCCCCATAGCAATTTTTCACTGTGGTATGTAGGCACCCAGTTTTATAACTATTTTTATACAGCATCGGATTTGTGGTTCTCATCGCAGTGAGTATGAAGATGGCTATCTTTTGGATTGTAGCACTATGTAGTCTGGCAGAAGTTTACCAGTGTTTCAGAGGCCATTGCTGCTTCAATAATCTCTTAGGATCATTGCCCTGATGATGGAAGCAGCAGTGACCTCTGAAATGTTGGTAAAGTTTATCAGACTACATGGCACTACAACCCAGAAGACAGTTATCTTAATATTCATACATACATTCTGTAGTGTTTTGTGAGTTTGAAAAGAATAAATATGTAAAGTGTAAATTTTTAAAGATGTAAACCTTTATTTTTATTTACTTGGAATGGGCAAGAAGTCAGACTTAAAATAAAAATAGAAACATTTTATAATTGTTTTTTGTTGTAAGGAGATGTGGAAGGTATTATACTACAACTTTGATTAATTCATTAACATTTCATTTTGAGTGTATGCATGTTGTTTTAGTAGGTCCTTCAATTCCAGTGTGTCTGATGTTTCAGGCGGCAGTTTACCGCAGTGGGTACAATCGATTTGCACCATACTGAAGTGTCTGGGATGAGACATCGACACCAGCATACATGACACAACCACAACTTGCACCTTGCCTCATCCGTCACTTTATCAAGCGTCATCATCTCGTCATATATCACATCACCTTCTATTGTGGCATCCATTCTGTCGGACACCATAGGAGAAACATCTCTGAAATGTCGGGAAAACTATCCTTTCGTCTCACCCTGAGGCAAGAAAGTGGACTTGTTACATAGTTTGGCAGCTATGTTAGATGGCTGCGACAGACACTGTAGTGGTGTGAGTGAGAATTTTGCCAACCACACGTCCAGTATTTGGATGATTGGTGGGAATCAGCACACCTCACTTAAGATTTTGATTATGATTTTGAAAGGCTACAAATTTTTTATTATTATTATGTCTAGTGTTTTTTGGTTATTTCTCATTTGTTCCTCATTATTAAGTAGGGTGCGTAGTTAATATGTTTACAGGCTTCCAACTCAACACAGGAACATCAGAACAATTAAAATTTAAAACTAATGGTGTTAAATGTTCTGATATTTATTGATTAATTGGTTGATTAGTAACTTTAAATCATATGTTTATGATTGTGTATAAAGCAGGGAATTTGCCCTGAACAAAATACCACGTTACTTCTTTGGTTGAGTTTTATCAGTAGATCATGGCACTGAAACCCGCCCTCCTCTGTTGTTTCCCATTGCCAGACTGCCATATGTTTTGAAATTTAAACCAATTGAACACCATACTTTTAAGCAGGACTAGATACTTCACGATCTCCGCCGCTCTTGTTTGGAGATAATTTGTGTCATCTAATGTAAGTTTATGTTTATGATTTATTCTTTGTTGCTCGCAGTTAATTTTCACATACATATTTATTATAAATGCAGCGCTCACCGGTGTGCTAGAAAAATGAATTTCTTATTTTGTTTTGATTAATGTTTGAGAGCACAAGCGTGCCATTTGAAGGTCTGTATTATCTCTGGAGCTTTGTGCTAGATCGGTTAAGCGCTCCAAGTCATTACCGTGAATCTTGTACATACAGACGTAGAGTCTCGGGCTGTTGATATACTCGGCAAACATCTACCATGTGGTGGTTTTTGTACATGTGATAAAGTATTTTCAGAACAGCATCATTTATATGAGACTTCGGATGATCAGCAGTTTTCTGTCTCATTTATGATTATGTGTTTATCGGTCAAATTGTTTCCTGCAAGAGATCATACTCATCACTTTTACAGATACTCATCTCATTAACGAGTGCAGAGGAGGAGGGTGGAGACTGTATTCTCATTGTTTTTGCCTGAAGATTCAGAATGTGTGAAAGGGAGTAGAAATGTATAGAGGGATAAATAATTACAAAGGGATTCTTGTGGACCACTAAACAGTAGGCCTAAATTTTATCTTGGTTACTTGTGACAGTTCGGAACCCAGAGTAATATGCCTCGATAGGCAGAATTGGAATGCTAAAAATTGAAACAAAAAATAATAGTTTTTGTTGCCAGTAACTGTTTGATGGCCCATAATATGTGTCCTTTTAGCACTGCTGATGTCCCCGAGCTGGAAGGATTTGAAGATCTGAAGCGGACATATCGGTTTGAATACTTTTTAATTAGTGTTTGTGTGTACCCATACATTTAAGCCAGTTCCCACGAAAAGCTCTCTCTTTAAAACTCATCGTGTGAATGACAGTGACTTATGAGTGACAGTTGTAATGGTGTGAACGAGACGATTAAACGCGTTCCAATGATTGTGTTAGGTTAGATACCAGTAGTTTAGT